ATACTACCTTTTTAGGTAGTTCTGACACAAACCATAGCAGCTTGTTGGACTACAACTTATACTGGTCTTCTGACTTTGTAATACCATGCTATATAAATTCCTGCCTTACCTTTGAAGATAATTTTCACATCAAAACTGGCCATTCCCACTGAATTCCTTGCAAGACATGTATACTTCCCTTTTCTGTCATAGGTGATCTTCGTGAAATGAAGTCTCGTTCCTTTTCCACGTTCTGGAAACAGCTGAGTCCCAAGTAGAGAGGCGTCGTCTTTCAGCCAGCTCACTGAGGGTAGAGGGTAGCCGATGGCAGTACAGTTTAAGGTCAGGTTGACGCCTTCGTTGATGAATATGATTTTGGGAGGGTGGGTTGTTATCTTCGGTGGAGCTATAGAAGGACAGTGAAATGTGACTGAACATGTGGAACACCGAACCCTGAATAGCGCTGTACAATTAAACAAACAAACATACACACGTCGAAAGAAACAGAGAAACAAACAAATATCGATCTTACCTTCTTTTGATTTCATGATATCACCAGGATCACCTTTTATCCCACGTGGTCCAGGTGCACCTCTATCACCTTTTGTACCATTATACCCCATTTTGCCACGGGGACCTTGAGGACCTCTATCTCCTGGTATACCTTGCGACCCCTTGGGTCCTGCAGGCCCTGAAACAACAATAGGGGGATTCAAGGTTTCCGACGCCATAACGAAACACAATAAAGCAAGGGGTGCAAACACATTGGAATTCCCTATAGGTAAATTTGAAGGGAGTGCAAACACAATGGTGAAAACAATAGATTCAAGATGGTGTCAGAAACCTTGAATCCCCCTATTGACCTTTACGCTCAAGTTGTCGAGAGCAATAACGACAAGTCGAGGCTTAGTGTTAATTTCTATAACAATTTAGCACGGAAATGAAATGGTCTATAGTCAAGGAGGGTAACTCAATCACGAATTTTCAGCAAACTTTTGACTTTGATTTCCCAGAGGAATTTTTCCCCTGCGCAGGGGTAAGTGTCTTGGTTCATAACTGGCCATTGTATCTTTCTTTTCCACATAATATTTTATTTCATTACCGATTAAGGTTTGAAAAAAAAACGGGGGGACAATTGTGTAAGACTTTAAAACTGCATGTTAAGTCTTACGCTTTGGCTGCAAACTGTTACGCATGTTTCTCGCGTTGATAAATTTTCCATGGCCAGAAATCACGGACGTGATTTATTCTATACTTCCTTCGTAATTTGCATATCATGTTGAAATATGGATTCAACAGTGAATTATATAACGCGACGTTGTTTAATCGCAAAATTTGAGAACAATGTAGGTCGTACATTACTTACATTTGCAGCTTGCTTCAATCTCTAGCTGCAAAAACAAACTCTGTCGAAGTATTCAGTTACTTCCTGTGTTCTGCATTTTCAATATTTGTACAGAGGTTAGTTTTTACGACATTTGTCCATTGACGTCTTTTCTGTATAAGAATTATACCGCACTACTGTCGGTAGGAACAAATTACGAAAACGCAGAATAGGCAGTAACTTAAGATTACAGAACACCTTTGAGTGTTAATTTTGCCTAAAATTTTTTTATTGGTTTTCATGAAAGCATTAGACTAGTTCTACTATCTGACCAAGTTTGGACGAAAAATGTTGAAAACTCGCAGAGTTATTTAATAAAATACATTTCGCTGCAATAAGAAAAACATTAAAATGTAATATTCAAATTCAATTTTCTCCCGAAGAATTTTACGGCAATTACTGATTTTTTAAACGAGTTGTGCTCCTGCGGGTTTTAGCGATTTTTTCTCAAATTTTCACAGGACATAGCTAAAGAAGTCAGTTTCAAAATAGTGTTCGGCTTTGTTCTAATTTTGGATATTTTAATAATAAGGAGCAATTCACACAAACGATTAAGAAATATATCGCAGTCGTCAAAGAAATCGCCATATCAGCGGAATGACGAAATAAACAAAAATTTCCGAACACAATTTTTTAGAACAACTATTTTACTGTATAAAAATGATATTTTCATAAATATACCTTAAAACCAGCAGGAACATAACTCAAAAGCGTAAAGGTACCGCGACTTAAGATTGTCAATTTTACAACTTTACCATATTTTGCATGCACTGGCGAACATTTGGTGAAAATTTGATGAAAATCGGACTAGCTGATTTTAAGCGCACAGTAGCGATTTTCCGCAAAACGCCAAAAAGGGTGTCCTGTAACCTTAAACCAGGCAAAGATTACATTAAATATGTCTACAGTACAGGCATTGTTTTGCAACCAGCAATTAAGCAAATTGCAAACGATCTACCGCGTATTCCCTGATTTTGTGATTTACAGCGTCGCGTAAAGCCTGGTTCACATATGCCTGCGGTATGCCTGCGACTGTATCATTATGCCTCTACTTACCGCCGAAATACCGGCAAAGTTGAACTCAAGTCAACTTTCCCGGCCTACCGCCGATGTAACTGTGGCACTGGAGGCAATCGGCGAACAAATATTCACATAATTTACGTTTTAAGCTACCACCAGCATCGTCGCCGGTACGTCGCAGGCACGTCGCAGGCATATATGTGAACCAGGCTTAATATAATTTACTGTTTACTACAGAAGCCATAATGCATCGATGGTGGCACTGTACTGAACGAAATAGAATAATCACGTGATTCTGGCCATGGCGCCATGCTGTGATTATAAACTAAATTTGCTATGGTAATAAGATTTAGATCTGTATCCCAAATTATTTTTATTCTAAGAGTAGCGAAATGATTGTTTCAAAGTTTTTCAAAGCAGAGTGTTTTTAAGCCTATGTCTACATCATTGACACGACTGCATATTTTGTCTTCTATTCTTGTTTTTTTTACTCTTGTACTATTTGATATATTTCACTTTACCATGGACTTAAGTCAAATAGTTCCCTGCATATAGGTTGAGTTAACTAAAAGTCTTTGCTATAAAGTCCCATGATTATAAAAATACTATTTTGTATAAATTGCGCATAATGAATCTAGATTTCAATTGCTTACTTTAAAAGAGGCGATGAATTAAACGTACACCGGTCCATAACGTAATAGTTACAAAAAATAAACGTTAAGACATCAACAAATGTTACCTATATGTAGTCGAGGCGACCAAATAATTTCACAAAGGTAAGAACTATTTCGTACTCAAATGAAAAGGAGCATTGAAATGAGGTTACAGCGCTTTGTTTCAGTGTGGAAACACCGCGAAAATTCATTACTTGCAAAACAGCTGGGAAATTTGTTGCGCATGCGCCAGATTGCCATTGAAACTTGAAGATTTCCCCGAAGAAATATTACGAGATGTTCGTGGTTGTTGTATATTTTTGAATGCCTGTTTAATCTTTATACTTTTTTTGCTTGAGACAAAGACAAAGTAAAATGTACTCTACGTTTCCAGCGTATAGAATATCTCGTTTGAACAGCAATAGAATATTATAATCTTGACACAAACAAGAAGACATTTGACACGCTATTTAAAATCTGTAGTCATGCCTGACTGAGGTATATTAAAAAGCCAATCGTCGCGAGCTTGACAGCCTTGTCAAACGCAAAACAAGTACAAATTTGGATTCAAACAGACAGAAGTTCAATGTTAATACAATTAACATATATTCTATACAAATACGGGTGGTTTAAAATGTTTTCAATTGAATTTCCAAAGCTTTTATCTATCGCTATGATATTCAAACTGTGAACTTGATGCCGCAGTTTTGTTTACGCTTGCGAATGCAAAATAACTTCCTGTAAACAGAGCATTTCTACACAAAACTCTCGCTTAGTCTTCTGATGCACTTGTACGTTCGGTTCTACTAGTTAAACAAGGAAAATATTCAAGAAACACTGGTAAATTATCGTTGTCAAAAAACATTTCAGTGCTGAGGCAGTGCCACTGATCTAGCAGTACAAGGTCTCAAGGGCAAGGTCAAGTTGTCGATTTCATTACATTTTACAGTACTTCGGAATCAGCCTAGACCTAGGCCTTCTATTTTTATTTATATTTTTTTAATATTCAGCGCTTTTTCACATGAAAAGACTGGGACTAGGTAATTTGGGGGCGGGGCGGAGGAAGGACACAAGCCTGACGCAAGCGAAAATATAGAAGGCCTAGTGGATTTCCCAACAACAAGGCCAAACCTGCCCTGAAACTGCCCTGATTGCGAAATGCCCAATTGTTGCGTTCTCAAACAGAATTATTTGCAACTTAACAGCGAATTTAAACCGATACAGGTAAAATAAACTCATTTATAGTATAAACTTACTATTTTTATTTGTATACACGTCTAGAAAATCGGGTTTTTATCATAAAGTTTGAAACAACACTATTTATATATGTTGACAAGGTGTAGCGAAACGGCACAAAATAATAATTCTTTTATTCGCAAGACAATCTACTGTTTTGCTTTGAATAACTATATTTGCGAATTGGGAATGAGGAATTTGAAATTAGTGTTCAAATATTACAGATATACCATTTGTATAAACAATGTACGTTTTTATATACAGTACTGTACTGTACGGGCTAATAATATATGTATCCGTTTTATTTTGTATATTTTACAAACACAAGACTGCTTCTTGCCAAAATTGAGAAAATATATATTAATGTACTTGTGTATAAGACAAAATTTCATGAAAGATTCTACTTTTGGTATATATTTTGACTCATTTTGTTCTTTCGCTACACCTTGTCAACATATTAAATAATAGTGTTGCTTCGAACTTTATGATAAAAACCCCGATTTTCTAGACGTGTATACAAATAAAAATAGTAAGTTTATACTATAAATGAGTTTATTTTACCTGTATCGGTTTAAATTCGCCGTTAAGTTGCAAATAATTCTGTTTGAGAACGCAATAATTGGGCATTTCGCAACCAGGGCAGTTTCAGGGCAGTTTTGGCCTTGTTGTTGGGAAATCAACTAGGCCTTCTAGGCTTGCTTCCTCCGCCCCGCCCCCAAATCACCTAGTCCCAGTCTTTTCATGTGAAAAACCGCTGAATACTAAAAAATATAAATAAGACTAGAAGGCCTAGGTCTAGGCTGCTTCGGAATGTTTTCGAACTCTTGCTTCATACAAGAGCAGTAAACGCACGCATTTCAAAGCGAAATTAGACGCAAAGGGGCAATTTTTCAACAAAATTCATTGTTAAATTATGTTTCCTATGTGCCTTGGGAGCAAAAAAATATGATTTTAAATTTGGAGGAATCGATAAATTTTTTTGCAATTTGGCCTGGTATTACACCCTACCTATGTAATGACTGTGCTGTAAAAGTAATCACATATACTATTTTGAATTTCCCTTCATTGAAAGGATCTACTATTGTGGACTAAACTATATTTTAATCAGCATACAAGACTGCAAACAACAGCCAAGAATTAGCTGGGTAGTTTGCAAACTTTAAAAATAATTAGACCTCAAACTTTGATCCCAAAAAGTAAACAAATGGCCAATACTGCGAACATAATCCAAGTTTTGACCACTAGGGGCAATTTTTAGATGTAAAAAAACTTATTTAAATTAGATATCAAACAAAGGCAAAACAAAATTTGGTATTAACTTTTTGGAGGAAACGTCAAGGTTTTTTGCTATCCGCGCACGCTTCTACACCCCCTCTCCCAGGACCTTCTCTATCAGAAAACAGTTTTCTGCAGAAACTATGCTTTTTTTATCGGGAAAATTTTTTACTTTTCTCAAAAAAATACTTTAGAAACACGGAAACCTTAAATATTTAAATAATTTTCATACCTTTTTGGGATTGCAAATAGCAAAATTGGATTCATTATTAGGGGTGCACCGGATTTGGAATTTTCAAATCCGGCCGGAACCGGATTTACCGGATTTGGACAAAAATTCCGGCCGGAATTCCGGCCGGATTTGCCGGATTTAAAATAAACCGGTAATGGGGACAATTGTGGATAAATCAGTACTCAAAATGGCGGTTTATGTTTTTTACTATTTTTAGTTAGTGTCAGTTTAGATTTTTGACTGTGTTTAAACCCTTTTTGAATTTTTTTTTAATAACTTAATATTTTATAATAATATAAGTGTTTTTTAAACTTTAAAACTGCCAAATTGATGGTTTATCCCATTCTTGGTGAATTTTTTAAGGTGAAAACAGCAATTTAAATCCGGCCGGATTTTCTCCAAATCCGGCCGGATACCGGATGCCGGAAAATTTGTTAAATCCGGCCGGAATTCCGGCCGGATTTGAAATCCGGTGCACCCCTATTCATTATCACACTTTTTAAAATATATGTGACAAAGTTGCTTCGAAATCACTATCACGCAGTAGCATGTTTATTTACCCTCATCCTTTTGACTGAATAAAGTTTATCTTTTTGAAAAGCTATTTGTTTATAGCTCTTGGTTAGTAGTTTACGTTTATGTCGATTTTGACACCCATGAGGCCAACAAGTTATGGTAATCCGCGAATGAAAACTGATATTCGAAAAGCACAAAAGCCAACTCCTAGCTATGTAACTTTATCGCCTGAATTTTGAATCAATCCACAATTAAATTTCTAGTAATGTAGATGCTTTCCATACTTGAGATGTTAGTGAAGTTTTTCCAACAATTTAATTTCCTTGATCGCCGTCTTAACAATGCAAAATCATCAGTTGAAATTTCACTCGTGTTGTTTTTTGAAATTTTCGAATTATTTGTAAAGTATCGCGTGCGCCAGCAATTTCTCCGCACAGCGACAACAAATTTCCCAGCTGTTTACTTGCAAATAATAAATAACTTAGACAGGTTAATTAAAGATCAAGTAATAAACATTTTTAAATGAAACATTTTAAAAAATCTGTTAAATAATAATATTTAATCGACATAAAACTAGTTTCGATAAGAACAATTAGCAGTGGCGGCGCCAGGCCTCAGAATTTGGGGGGGCATTTGAGGGGCAAACTCATATTTTTGGGGGGCAAGATAGAATTTTTAAAAATGTACTGCTATTTGCCCATGCCGTTGTCACAGGACTTTTGTCCCCCCCCCGCCCCCGCAGGAGATTCGCTCCCCTCTCAAAAGGGGGCGAATTTTAGCTATTTGGTCTGCATTCCTTGTAAAATTTTTATCCGTTGACGGTATTATTTGTTTTTGAAAACTGAAAATTCGCGTCGCGTTTCCGAACGCGTCCGGTCTGTGTCGGCCTTTACACGTTTGAGAATTTAACTTTGCAACACTAAAGCTTTTTTTGTCTTTTTTTGAAACGTATTATTGGAGTACTGGCAAGTTTTACCATTCAGAGATTTACAAACTAATATTGAAACTGTAAAAGACAGTTTCATGTATACGCGCATTCACTAATGAGTAATGACAACTTATAAGCCATACATTTTCCCATAACAACAAAACGCTTGTGTAGCCTTTAGTCGCTCTCAGTGACTAATAAATTTTTTTGAGGGGGGCCAAAAAATAATTTTGGGGGGGCATTTGCCCCCCCCCCCTTGCCCCCCCCTGGCGCCGCCACTGACAATTAGAAAACATTAACAAGGAACAAACCGAACAAAGGAAGTATAATGATAGTCTACTTTAAATAAGTTTCAAAAATTGTCAGAACATCATATTATCATCAGTATTAGATCATCAGTATCTCGTAAACCTGTTCCATCAAATTATCGAATATTGGAAATGTTCACAAAAGTGATTGCAAAAATTCGTAAGCAACCTGAAGTCGGGAAAATCCCAAGAGAAAATCCGAACTCACAGTTCATAATAATGCACTTACCTGGCAGACAAACAAGGCTTTTTGGAAAGTTGCTACCAGTCTTGTTTGGAATCTGTAATGAAATACAGCTGATCGAATGCATTGAACATCAACAGATCACGATTGTACCACTAAGAACATGATTGTACTACCACTACATGGTCTAACCAAGCTAAACTCAGAGAGATTTAACTCAGAGAGATTTATACTAACCCATATTCATAAACGACACCCCAATATATAACATATGTAACCTTGAATTAAGCTGATTGATACATACCGATTCACTGGTTATTCCGAGCAATTTCATAAAATCGCGAATCATCATCGCACAAGTTTGATTTTTGGTCTCTTTCAAACCAAGCGCTCTTCTCTCCCTCCTTTCATTTTCTTTGCTTTCCAAATTGTTCAAATCCTGGCCAGATTTTTTAAAAATGCTTTCATAGTCTGACTGCAATATATCACTTTCGGTTTTGAGCGAATTTTGAAGGTCGTATGACGCGCACGATTCTTTGAGGTGCTTTAATTCATTTTGTGTTTCATGCAAAGAGAAAACGAGATATAAAATTCCTCCAATGCTTAAGCTGGTTAGAAGCAAGTGGAATGAATAAAATACTTTAATACTAGTCGGAAAATGAGACGATTTTGACATCTTGCGCGAAGATGAAATGCTGGCACAAATGTCAAGCGATTTAGCGTGTGTGCAGTCCTGCTGTGGTATCAGGTTTATAGCTTCGAGTTATTTGTTCGTCTGTGGGATTTCGGTTGTTATTATGGCAGCAGTTTCCTGTCAACATGGCCAGGGGATAAAAGCCTTATTATGGTCCTTAATCGTTGACATACATGTACAATGCAAAGGTCATGCATGTTATTGTCTTTGTACTGCAGTAACTAAACTTATACATCATGAAAAATGTGAAATCCATACTATAAAATTTGCAATTGCACCACTAAATCCATAGTATATCCATACTATTTCGATACTACATCCATAGTATGGAAATATACAATTATTATGGATAATCAAACATCCATTCTATTTCCAATAAAGGTCCATACTGTACAATTTCCATTCAATAGATTTTCAATTTTTTTTCCAGTGCATACTATATATACTGCTGCATTAAATTGCGATGAATATAAATATTTTATTATAAAGATACTAAGTTTTACGAATGAATTTACTTACACGAAAACTTGCTTCGCAATGCATCTAGAGGCCGTTTTCCACTAGGAGGAATTTTCCGCGCAAAGCGAAATTTTTCTTTGTCTTTCTTGTCTTTCTTGTGATTACTCGGGTGGAACTAATTAGAAAAGACAAATAAGAAAAATTCCGCTCCGCGCGGAAAATTTCGCCTTGTGGAAAACGGCCTCATCAGGAAAGTCAATCAGAAAAGCGAAACAATTTTCTCGCACATGATTTGAACAGTAATTTCAATATTTCTTGAAGATATCAGTTACAACAGTTTTGGTTCGTTGCCTGAAAATACGATTAGTCAAACTATCTACAATATCACTTTTTTGGAAATTGTCTGATTTTTTTTATTATTATTATTATTATTTGGTGTTTAATTACACATTTTCGCATAAACAATGAATTACAATGTGTTTACATTCAAAGTCAAATTTAGTTTATAGTTATTTACACGGTCATAAAATTTAAGGTAAAATAGGTTGCGAATATTATTAATATATATGTTAAGATCGAATAGTAAGTTAAGAATATTGTTAAAATTTAATAATTTAATCTAAGGTAGGTTCCTTTCTCTATTTCATGGCATTCAGTTCAACAATTGCTCTTGGAAAGAAACTGTTTTTAAAGCGTTCAGTTCTGCATTTATACAATGACAGATTAATTAAGTTTCTAATATAATATTGTTGAGCACAAGCTCTGGATTGTGTCACGTGTTCAACAAGGGGGCCTGCTCGTTTAGCAATCTTCTGTAAGGTATTTATACAGGTTTCGCCTGTCGCTAAGTCTTGTGCAATTAGCCAATTGAAGAGCTTCGTCGTATGAGTGGCCAGGAAAGATAATGCGCATGGCACGCTTTTGTACTCTTTCCAGTTCGTCAGACAGATAGCGAGGTATCGCGTAATTCCATACCTCACAACAGTATTCCAGAATAGAACGAATAAGAGCGAAGTATATGTTGGTAAGATCAGCAGGAGGGACACCACCGCGGCATAATACGCGAAGACCGTATAACCGTTTGGAGGCCTTGGTGACGATTGATCGAATTTGCTCGTCCCATTTAAGATTGTTTTGAATAATTAAACCCAACACTTTGTGCGATTGTACCGTTTCTACCACGTGACCATCAATTGTCAAAGATGGTAGCTGCGGGGTTTCTTTAAGGAAGGAAACCCGGAGCTCTTTGCACTTTTTGGCATTCAATTTCATACAATTGTAAGTTGCCCATGAATCGATAGAATCAAGAGTTGACTGAGTGACCGAGAAGCTGTTCGATGTAAGATTTTCAGAGGATGAGACATCGTCTACAAATTTCCACATTTTCGTGCCTGGGGAATTTACTCTCAAATCATTAATCATAATGAGGAACAATATTGGACCAAGTTTAGTCCCTTGGGGGACCCCGGCTGTCACTGGGAGCCAGCTGGAAAAGGATTCTCTAATTTTAACTCGTTGTCTTCGATCACAAAGAAAGTTTATAATCCAGGGTATTAAAGACCGCCTAACGCCCAGGTCTAGCAGTTTTTCAATAAGAATATTGTATATCCAATGCGGTCGAAGGCCTTCGAGAAATCTAAGAAGCCAATACGAATGTTTTTACCGTTGGAGTCCGAGTCCAAATGGGAGAGCCAAGAGTGGAGCATATCAAGGAGGCAATAGATGGTCGACGTTCCTTTCAAACAGCCAAATTGGCAGGGGTCAATCTTTCCCTTGACGTCGTCAATTAGCCAACTTACAACAAAGTCTTCCAGCAGTTTGGAGAGGCAAGAGGTCAACGATATATTGGTCTAGTATCTCCTTCACATTCGGGTTGTTGTACCTTCGGGATTGGAATGATATTGGATTCTTTCCAAATTCTCGGGACGACGCTAGAGGAAAGGGATGCATTAAAAATGGTGGTAACTGGATCGGCTAGCACGTTAGCAAAATCTTTTAGAAATCGACTTGATACATTATCAGGTCCTGTTGCTTTATAAGGTTGAAGAGCCAGTAGTTTTTGACAGACTTCGTAAGGTTCAACGGATAAAAAGGCGTCGTTAGCCGGTAAGAATGCGGGCAGTAAATTTACATCAAATGTCGGAATATCGGCGTTCACAGAGACGTAAAATTCATTAAGGGCACTTGCTAGTTGTTCGTCGTTCAGAGTTTCCCCGTTACGTTCTAAAGAGAAAGATTTTGTTTTCTCAGGTTTACCGGACATTTTGTTGATCATTTTCCACCATCTACGACTGTCAGTGTTTCTTAGGTGCTGGACTTTGTTCTTATAAAAAGACTTTTTTCTTTCCCTTATTTCATATTGGACCTTGCGTTTTAGTGAGAGCCAAAGGGGATTATTCCTGCTATGGAATGCTTTCTGACGATCTCTTATGAGGGTTTTAATGGCTGGTGTTACCCAAGGTTTATCGGAATGGTGGAATTTTACCAACTTAGGAGGAAATATACGGTCAATTGCTTGCACAAATTGTGATGTAAAAGATGTTGTTAGATCATCAACTGTGGCTGTAGGCCCAAGTTCACTGAACCAATTGTGGCTTGTAGCCCATCTCCCAAAAGCGTCAATACAAGATCGAGGGTATCGACGTACCAGACGTTTAATAGACTTGGTGTGCAAACTTGGGTTTGACTTCGTTAAGTCAGGAGACCATGTGATAATATTGTGATCTGAGGATCCAAGTGGGGCTAGAACTTGGGGGGCTTCATAAAGGTTTGATAGGTTGGTAATTATGAGATCTAGAATAGCCGAGCCTCTCGTGGGAGCCTGGACCAATTGCTTTAAGTTATGTCTTGATAAAAGGTTCGCTGTTTGGAAATCGTTAAAATCGCCTAAGAAAACAAGACCACAATTGGGATATTGGTTGCATAGAATATCCGCGCTATTGGTTAAATATTCATTTAGGAGGTAATGTTCATGTTCGGGCAACCCAGGTGGGTGGTAGACGACACAAACTGCAATGCCTGAGAGGGGTCTAGGTAGGCGAGTGGGGCGTAGCCAAAGCCACAAGCACTCAAAATTGTCGCTTTCAAGGTCAGTTCGACGCTTAGCATGGATATGCTAAGAGAGATAGACACAAACCCCACCTCCACGTCGATAAGGGCGATCCCTTCGGAAAATGTTATAACCCCCAATTGAAACAAGGTTATCTTCTATATCGTCGTTCAACCATGTTTCCGTCACTGCCACCAAATTTACTGTGTTTACGGATAGATTTGCGATAAGTTCATCAACCTTTGGTAAAACGATGAAAAGAGAAACGTTAGAGAAAGCCCAATAAAAGTTGGCGACTACGTTTTGTGGAAGCAAGAGAGACGGAACAAACTCACCCCTAATTTCAATGAAACACCCCACATTGTCATCTCGCGAAACAACAACACGGTGACAGCACGTAGTCAGACAGGACACACTATAACTCGCAATGTATCACACTTCAAGCCAATACCGAAGCCAAAGATCGATGTTCAAGTCGACGACGACGATGACAGTGAAACGTATGACGCGGAAAGGACCGAACGAGACAGAGTTGACACTAGTAACCCTGAGCCAAGACGATCGACAAGGAATGTCAGGCAACCAGAACGATATGGCGAGGGAATTAGATAAAAAAGGGGAGTGATATAGTAATGACGTCATGTCATTCACTCGGCACCAGGACTATACGGTCGGAACTAATTAAATAGATATAGATAGGACATGTTGTGTAGAAGGAACACACACTAAGACATCAGTTAGAACTGAATCGTTATGTTATGCTAAATATATTCTATAGCACAAATATATACCTAGTACTTAGATATTACAGCAATATTTTCCAGTTCCGGCAGAAAGATCTTTATTTGCCAAAAAGAACCGAAATAAGATGTGAAACCATGGATGCATGCCAATCAAAGAGTCAGTCGAGAACGTCGAGGAATGGTGTTAGCATTGTCCCAGGAAGGATTTTCGCAACAGAAGATTACCGCTGGAGTTTGCTGCAACCAACCAAGTGTCATCGACATGCGCTAGAAGGAGATATTGAATGGAAGCATAGAAGCAAGAATGAAAGTTTCGAGATTCCTACGAAAAAATAAAGTCAACGGAAGAGAACGAGAAAAAGTAAAGCTTACAGCTCCAAACTGCTCCAGGTAGAGATGCAAATGGCACAGTAGACATCTTCATTTGAGCCACCAAAAGGGCTGGAAACGAAAAAAGAAACATCATCTCACTGCTTGCCACAGAAAAGCTCGAAAATAATTAATAAAGATGTATGACAATTGGAATGCAAAGAGAGTGGTCCGAGGACATTTTCGAAGACCAGTCAAGATTTCTCATCCATACGAATGGCGATCGAATCTATACTAAGAAATATTCCTATAGAGGAACAAAAAAGAACATTGTGTCTAACTAACCAACATAACCTGTATGCCGGATTTCGTGTCCATTCCTTAACTTACTTTATAAAAACTATTTGAAATAGATGAGATCTTTATATAATGAGTATGAAAAAACTGAATGTTGTGCATATTTCATCTTGTTGACATGTTGTTTAATACTAACTTTTGATAAGTTCTTTTCGAGTTTTGAAGAAGGTATAATCAGTTTTTGGAAAAGCTAGCGTTGGGAAAGATTCACTTTTATGATAGATGTCAAAAACAACTGTTTGCCGCACTATAGGAAAATTAAAATACCTCAAGGAATAAAAAATTAAAATACCTCAAGGAAGGAACAAAAAAGAACATTATGTCCAACCAACAGAACCTAGACGCCATATTAAGTTCGTGTCCATTCCTTAACTTACTTAATAAAAACTATTTGAAATAGATGGGGTCTACATATATTGAGTACGAAAAAACTGAATGTTGTGCATATTTCATCTTATTGATATATTGTCTAACACCAACTTTTGATAAGTTCTTTTTGAGTTTTGAAGAAGGTAATAATCAGATTCAGAGCATTGGTCGTATGTTAATATGCTGATATATCCTTGTGTATTTCCGCTTTACTTTAAAAAGGAATCCATCATGAACGGTGCATGAACTGACGCTTTATAGATCATAAACTATATATACTTCATAGATATACAAACACAGATTTCTTGAAAGCATTTCATCATACAGACAAAAAATAACAACCTTTGGTTCCAGACAAACCTAGAAATCCTTGCATGCAACAATGAAAATTTGTGTCATTGGACATTGGTTATGAAAGTCGTGGAATCGCATCGAAAATTCATATACATGTGCATGAAATCCATTATCCTCATCACTGATCCTCATGCATATACCACACAATCCTGCACTCATCCTCGAGTGAGTCTTTACAATTACATCATTTTCACATATTTACAATTCTTAATCATAACAATTATAGTAAAAATAAAAATCATAACAATAGACCGATTTGAAAAATTGTTGTCATTTTTTTCTTCCGAAATTAATTTCAATCAAGGTAACCACTTCCGCCTTACAGAATACTTCAAGACTAACAGTTTTACAAAGTATAAAATTGATGCGTTTCTTTTTGAGAAATTAAATGTTAAAAATACCGACGTTTATATGGTATAGATTTAGCAAAGAAGACTGACTAGCCTCGTTTTAACTCTTTTTTGCACATTTCAAACAAAGGGATATAATTTCACTTGCATGAATTGTTTTCCCAATTTCTATCTTCAATTTTTACCATTTGCCTTAAAAAACAGTCTGTGTTGAAAATTTGTTTTTAGCCTGGCAATGTACTAATGTATAAAATATAAAATGATGAAAAACTGTGCTAGCTAATTTTCGAATCGGTCAATAAAACCTGGCGATAATGGTAACATCGATTTTACTAAATCACAAGCTTAAAGCCTGATTAAAATAATGTAATAACATCGTGTATAGTTTATCAAACATCGAGTAAACTTATTTAAACGAGTAATAAACCGACAGCAATAATAATTAACCGATAAGTGTTTTAATATATTGATTTCATTCAGTCAACACTGTCGCGAATTTAGACAAAAAATGTTTGGCAAATACAACAGCAACGAGAACGTGCTCAACAACAGCATCTTTACTCTAAGACAAAGGCGACTATAATTTGCATCCTTGAGCATTCTAGTACGCCGTACTTGTTCAAACTGCTACGTTATGTACATCATTTTCATGGCCGTCACGACTACGCCAACACAGTAAAACGTTCAAGTCGTTTGCGGTGTTTTATGTAAATTCACTTACTATCGCCACTTCAGAGAATTTCAGGGTTGTTTAAAAGAAAGATGAGTGCTTTTAAAAGCTAAGTAATGCATGTATGTTTTCGCTCGAATACAAAAGTATAAGTACTATTTAAAGCACGCGTAGGAGTGTTTTATCACATATAAAACACGACGCGTAGCGGAGTGTTTTATATGTGATAAAACACTCCTACGCGTGCTTTAAATGGCTTAAAAAACGACTTATCTTATACGAGTTCATTGGCGAAGTAATTTTTATAATAAACTTTGTCTAAACCGAGAAAATCAAAGCTAAAGTTTATGTAAATTGACGTGATTTTTTATCACATCTAAAACCACGACACGCTTATGATTTTTCTTTGTGTTTTGCTCCTGAATTATTAATGAGTTTTTTAAAGTTATTTTGTGTTGTAGCCTACCGTCGCAGTTGTTGTTTGCCAAACTCATTAAAAAATGCATTAAACGATGTAGTATGTCAACGCGAAGGCAACAGCCAACACAAAGTCATTCAAACGAGAAATTGTAAAAAAAATTGTGTCGTGTGTTATCAATCGAATGAATTTAGTACATGCAGCTAAACATTGATCTTTGAGAATAGTTTTACTGAACAATTCATTTCTGGAGACCTCAAAAATCTGTGGTTTATGATTATTCATTCTTTTCTAAAATGTTATTGAATTTCATTGTATGAATAGCTGTCGGTTTCGGGAGTTGCCGTTCTACATCGCAAGGGTCTCTGAGGGGCTGTTTATATGAGACGTGCGGTCTGGCCCTATATTAGCCGGGCTAAAGCCCCCCCCCCCGGTCAAACGAAAATGAAAGTTGATGAGAGCTGGCAGTCACGAATTGTTACAGTCGACATTTCGAGGTCTAGATTAACAAAATGTAGATTTCATGAGTGTTTCAACTATGTTTTAACTTCAATAGAATACATGATAGTGTTGGGAAAGCATTAAGAACAGCTAACCAAGGTCACGTGACTGTCAACTCTCGTTTGATCCAGGTTTAAGACTTCAACAAACCAAAATTGACAAGAAAAACTCGTTGACGAGTTTAATAGTGCGAGGTTTGTCACAAAAGTCAAATTCATTCTTTTTTCCTGCACAAATTTCCGAGTTAAAACTACTTAAACAACAAGCACAATTTAGAAGTTTAGAAATCAAAATTTGTCGAGAAAAATATCAATTCAGAAAAATATTGTCAATTCTATAACAATGTTTTTTGCTAGCACGGTTAAGTGACTTTGCATGGATAAATTTCAGTCCATGATGTGCCCCGGTTGAACGCGCGGACTGGTCCAGTTTTCATTGAAAGTGAATTGTTTTGTAAAGAAAATTTGTGTGAAGGCGAACGCCTCGTTTAACCGGGTCAACCAGCCAGTCGGACTCATATAAACAGCCTCTATAACGAACTCAAAGATAAGTTACTGTTGAGAAACAAATAATGATTTTATAATGCGTGCTTTTTACTCAAAGGGGTCCGTCATGACAGTTCAAAGCGTACGAGATTTTGAAATCAAGTTTATTTCTGAGCTGATTTTCTGATCTTCGGCTGATTTCAACATTTCCTGAAGATACCAATTACAGCATTTTTGGTAGATTTCAATGCCTGAAAATACGTTTAAAACATTGAGAACAAAATACTGTTTTATTTATGAAATATCCGCTCTGAAATACGCAAAAGTGAAACAAAGCTAGTTCTTGCAATATGGTGATATGTTTAGCCTTTTCTAAGAACTTACGTGTTTTCTGTATGATTTCAAAATCATCTGATTTCTACTCAGTTAATTAAAATTTCTGCATGGTTTTTAACCTGAGTTCTGAGTGGAGTGTACGCGAGATATCTGCCGTGACCGACCCCTCATTTTGTTGCAATACAAGAATGTATGTAATTGTATTCGATACTGTACTACTAATCAGCCATTCACAAAGTAACATGCGAACTTTAAGAAAAGTTAAGTAATGTTTAAAACCTACAATCATTTTCAAAAGTTGTTTTCGGTTTTAGATCATCAGCGGATAAATGCAAATTATTACAAGCATTTTTATCTCCCGTCCCCCCTCATTAAATGTTGTTTAGCGAATTCCAGACACTGTATTACATCAAAATAAGATGCTAACTGAGACCTAACATTGAACAGGGAGGGGGAGCAAAGTTTTTCAAAATAATATGTAGTTGAGGCATCTGTCTCAACACATTTGAAAATAATTGTAGTACAAGGTCTGGGAGTGACAGAAAAACCGTTGTTGAAAAACTTCTTGAAAACAGCTCTAATTTGTTTTTACTGTCACCGTATTAGATCAAGCATTGTTTAACTTAATGTCGCTTATATATCAACGTTTGATGTCCTCAAAATTTGAGCTTGCTTAAAGTTGATGAGAGTTGACCAAATACTCGATGTTTGATGATGATAGTTTACGAGAGCTGCAACTCTAATCAACTTTTATTCTCGTTTGCCAATTAAAGGACATTGGGTTAATATTATATATTAACTGAATGATCAAAAAGTTTCTTTTGGTTTATGTGGTTAAATTAATACTCTCAGAAGTTTTCGACATTTCAAATTTGCATGCCATGACGTTTTTCATTCAATTCATTAACAAGCCAAAAAAAACTAAAATATTCTTTAAGACATATTAAAAAGTTTAAAAAAACTTTCATTAAGTTTTGAAAGTTCTTTCTAACGATATTAAACTACATGTCAACTTGTCCTATATGAACTTAAACTTTACATGTCGACCAATGTCCTTTTAAAAGTTTCAAACTAAGATGGCCGGCTAAATGTGGACAAAGTCTTTAGTATGCTCTTTTAGTAAAGTAAAATGAATTTATTACCACAATAATAGTAGGATTATGCATTTATTGCTATTGTATATAGAGTTTCATTAAGTAATTATTGATCTTATTGTAATATATAGCGTCCGTTGTAATGGACAATCCTGTTGAAGCGAAGTTGATCATTGTAGTTTTACACTTTTACTATGATAAATATAATCATCGAAAAAAGTTTCCATTAATTGTAAAAGAAATGAAAAATTAAAGATCTGTCACATCGATGTGTATTTTATTTTTATTTTAACTTTTCATGCATCAGTAACTATACGCCATCTTCCATCGTGATATATACTCACACCCGCGAACAGGCTGCGAAGGAAACTACGATCGTGATGCAGTGTGGTATACGTGCAAATAAATTGGAAGTTGTCTGCAAACTATAGATTAACGATATGTCATTTCAGATGACTTTAATAAATTTAATGATGTAATTTTATATAATTTTCATACGGTGGTTATTGTACTATATTTAAAACATGAGCAGCAGTGTTTTATCAGATATAAAGATGCGAGACGAAGCCAAGTATCTTTAGGCTTGATAAAACACGCACTGCGAATGTTTTAAAATGCTTCAAAAGCGATCGACCTAGTAAGTTCATCGGCGAAGTAATTTTCATTATATAATAACTACAGTGAAACACGCAATTTGATTGGTCAATAGCCGTGCAGGATCAGGCTATCTCTTACTCATTAATAATTCATGAGCAAATTAGCGAATGAACTCACCCTAATTCGTCACATGATTGAAGTTGGATACCGCAGGAAACACGCTAAAAATCATATACCATCACTGTTGTTAGATGAAAAACGGTTTTCATCTAATAACTGAGATCCTAATTACAAATTCAAGTCAAAACACAACAATATACTATAATAATATATATAAGCCAATGAAATGTTTTCGTTTGAGATGTTGTGTAAACAACTCGTTTCTCGTGTTTCATCAGAGGACTAAACACTCGAAAACAATAAAACACTCGCGCTTCGCGCTCGTGTTTCATACAGTTTTCTCGTGTTTGGATCCCCTGATGAAACACTCAAACTCGTTGTTTACATATAACATCCTGCACGAGGAATTAAAATGCCTTCGCGGGATTTTCGCAGGATTCACAAAATGTCATTGTTTCACTGTAGTTATTTTATAAAGCAATTACCAAATGGTTTTCCAAGCAGGATAGCGTGATCCATGCACTTGGGATGTTGCTCGACTTTCGAAAAGCGTAAAAATACACTCGCCTGCGGCTCGAGTATTTTTACGCTTTCCGAAAGTCTCGCGACATCCCTCGCGCATGGATCACACAATCCTGCACGGAAAACCATTCGGTATCCTTCAATAAATACGTTGTGTATGTCGAGAAGATCAGAGTTAAAGTTTATGTAAATCAAGGAAAATCTCTATCACATAAAAGAAAGATACGACACGAGCCAGGAGAAAAAACAAGATTAAGAAGCTGAATGTCGTGCGTTCATTGCCAACGGCTACAACAATTGCATTTTTATGAATTTATGAACCCTATACTGCGACCATATATTTAATGCATGCATATAGGTGGTGTGCAAGTTATACATCACCGTCGACATGTGGGATGACATTGACAAAGAATTTTGCTTGTTTGCAATGCAAATATCATCCAACATGACGAAAATCTCTTTGTCCTTTGAATCCCATGGGAGTGGTTGAAATCTCCTACACGGAAACCAGGCAAATTGCAATTGTTCTACTGTACATGTATATCACAATCGGTGAAGTGTTTTGTCATGTGTTGAGTATATTTGCATACAATCAATGTAACCTCAATGAACCAACTTTTCATGCCGTTTGGCGTGAGTTCTGACTGTAGTGGTTTCCCCACAACCTAACAACTAAACCATGGCAATGTGGGCAAGGGAGGGAGTTATATTATTTTGCAGATTCAGCACGCATCGTTACCACAAGGCAGTTTACTCTTTATCATGGGAACTGCATGCATGGTCGATATGGCATGGTCGACAAAATCTTTCGATCAAAATAACTCATTGCATGGTTGCCGGTCAAATCCTTATCGAGTGACAATTTACAGAACTCGAGGCAGGAGTAACCAACAATCTGATTATAAGTGTTCAAATAGTCTGCCTATATTATTTTAAGTTTCACTTAATAGGTCCCTTTAGGTCATTGTTGGCATATATTCACTGATCCAACCAATCACAATTAACTTGGGCTTTTACGTAAATATATCTACATAACGAACATAACTCGTAAGCCATGCTAAGTGAAAACGGCGTTTGGTCTCTGGTATAATGATGTTCAGGCAGCTTTACGTGGATGCAAACTTTACCATATTTTAACCGGCGTTTCGAAAGAAATTCGTGATGGTATATCATTTAGAGGAATTGGTAATAATCAAGAGCAGATAGGAATCAAAGATTCTGGCCTTTTTGTTGACTTTGTTGCTGATATCCACGGAGTAATCGGTATGTGATTGTTAAAATATTTTATGGTTCGATATGGTAGCCATGCATGAGTCGTACTATTATGCTCTTTATACAGCAAGATGCTTTATACTGTAAGAAGTGTACATCTCAAGCTCTTTTTAGAACTTACGTGGCTCTCAGTAATTATAGTTATAATAAGCCTTGATTGAACGAATATGAGCGTTCATGAGAGTTGCAATTCTCGCTCGCTATTGATCATGCACACTCTCCCTTAACAGCTAATAACTAAATAAGCCAATTTAAGTTCAGTTGACGAGAGTCCACACAGCAAAGTAGGCCACTTTAGTGCGAGATCTCCTGCGGCAGGCTAGCTATTCTGTAATAATAGTTACCGCTGCAGTTATTTTGCGGCAACTTGTTAGTGCTTTCCACCCAGGGCGAGAGTTTTGCTTCTGACATCGGGGTCTTAGCTAGAAAAACGACGACCTCAGCCTCGTTTATAAAGCCGTGCATGCACGTTCATAAAATAAAGTACGTGTTGCTATACTTTTACAACAGACAGAATTTCCTCCAATTCATATATCGTAAGAAAATTTGAAGTCTAGTTTGTTGAAAATCAGTTGCAAAAGTGACCGTTATCCGTTTGATGGTTATGAGTAATGGAAACCGTATTGTGTTAACACGGGGGGGGGGGGAAAAATTCTTCGAGACATCATTTCTGACATTTTGCCAATGTTACATATTTCTTGCTTTTTCAACTATTTTAATGTCATTATTTGTCCGCTTTTTAAGTAGAATTTGCCTGATGGGAGCAGCAGCCCCAGCTATATAGGTCTCCTCTCCGCCCCAAGTGTTGCTGAAATAACTTAAT